ACAGATATTAAAATACTTTGAGTGAACATACCTATTTTAACGAATCCTGTCTATAGAGAATATTTCCTTAAATACCTGTGTAATTTGGGTAATTTTTAAGTTTGGTCATGCTGTTTTATGATTCTCTGTTTCTTAAAATAATGGGATTAAATCTTTATCCGTAAGGGTTGCAGTGAGGCTGGTGCCTATTTCCAGCAGTCTATGCACAGGGCATTCCTTGGATAGGTTGCTGGGCAACAGAGAGAAGCACAACCATGAACGCAAACATTTACACCTAAATACAGCTTAGAGAGGCCAGATAACCTAACTGTTATGTTCTTGGCACTGATGACTGGCTTAATTAGTCACTCCGTTCACCTGTCTAACTCTGCCAGGTTTTTCATCATGTTCATCTGATCCACCTGCTCTTGCCTCTACTTAAGGAGCTTGCATCCAGTCATCAAGTCGAGATTATTCTTGTTCTCTCTAGCCAGTGTTGAGAGTGTTTTTAGTTTCCTTGGTATTTCTGATTTCCTGATCCTGACCTGTTCTGCCTCTAAACCACTTAGCCTGCCTGTTCCCTTCTGAACGGTTTGCCTGAACTCTCTTTGGACTCCTGGATCTCTGAGCCTTCCTGTTCTGATCTGTCTTGCTTGAATACTGGGTCTTTCTGTTCTAAATCTTGACACTAACAGCCATGTTTTTGAACTCATAATGGAAGCCAGAGTACCCAGAGAGAACCCAAGCATGCACAAGAAGAACTTGAAAACTCCATGCAGAAAGACCTGACTTTAGTCAAGAATTAAACCCATTTACCACTTTTACCACTGTTGCAAGGCAACATATATATTTATATAGAGCTTTTTTCAAGTAAGGAAACTTTATTAAAGCACTTTACACATTGTAGCAAAAGCTGCTCTGGGGCTCAGCGAGGCTGCCACCATCAGTAGGCAATGCAGGTGAAGTGTCTTGCTTAAGGACACAAAGACACCGAAAGCAGGAGCTGGGGCTTGAACCAACAACCCTCTGTTTTTTTTCTACTTTTAGCTTTTAAAATGATTACATTTTTTCTGTGCTATCTCTAACTTGTTCTAAATTTCCGTCAGCTTTGAGTCCAAATATGCTTGTCCAGCCTCCATAATCAGACTCCTGGGCTTGTAAATTTAACCTTAATATTTCATCCACCTTATGCAATCTTCAGATCATTTAAATAATCATTTAAATTATTTATTTGCCTTTTAAACTGTTTATTTTTAAAGAAAAAAAAAGCTAGACCACCAAGCATTTGACAAATATCAGAAAAGCATTCTATAACAAAAAGCAGCCATTGTAATGTATGTGGTAAAAAAAAAAAGAAAACATTTGGGCATTTGCATATTATACTGCATAAGTTCACTTTTCTGTTTTAGTTAGTGGAGGTTATTTTGTTGAAAGCAAATTCTACTTTATTTTATTATATTATGATGTAAAATTTCAAGAAGACCTGTAATGTTTGTATTTGATGGTCTCAATTTTTGAGTTAACAAGCGCTATCATTTAGCGCCCCCTATTGTGTATTTAGAAATTCCGCTGAACCAATCAGAGACGCTGACACAGCCTCACAGCGCTTCCATGCGCTCTTGTTGCTGATTGGTTGTTTCCCTTTTGACTAACCAGCGCAATACAGTGCCAGAGCGTCGCGGAGGGAGGGGATATTTTAATGGCCGTCAGTAGCACTTCAACATGGAAAAACTCCGGATTATTCATTATCTATAAACTTCTTTAGCTCTGCCTCCGTTTTAAAATATTTTATTTTATATCCCCCTGTGCTACAGAGAAGCATTTGGGTAAGATATGTTTTTCTAGTGCTCTTTCTGTTGCAGTGGACGGACTTTACCCGCTTGATTGGTGCGTGAGTAGCTGATGAGGCCTAACCGGCTGGCTAGGAGACAAGCAGACGGTTAGCTTGAGTTGAAAGGTATAGTATGTTCCAATTTTCTTTATTCCCACTTTTATTTAATACTGTAATATATGAAATACATCCATATGGATATATCCATGCGAACAGTCTCTTTTAAAACAAATGCTTACTTCATTTAATCTTCGCAGGGTAGAAATGTAAACAAGAGACTTGCGTTAGCCTTGTTAGCAGTGCCTAAGCTAACAGCTAATAGCTAACTTCATAGCAGTTAACTTTATATGCGGGCCAGCCTGGATCTAACAGATGTTGATACGTTATCCGCTCTGTTGGCAAGTCAAGCAGATATTTGAACTCACTCCCGGGCCTTATGGCTGTTTATAACCCCTCTCTGTTTGTGTGTCGTCTTAAGAAGACTGGACCGTTTTTATTAAAGCTTGAGCTAACAATGCTAACTTAGGCTTGCCACCATCACTTAGCCCAACTTTGTCAAATTAATTTGCATAGAACTCTATTCAATGATTATAAACTTAAACTGTAATGAGTGTAAAACTGTCTTGCAAGTCTTATATTTAGGAGTGAAGCCACCTTAAAGAAGGATTGCTGCGTTATATTATCCAATTTCTTTTAAACCAATGACTTGCTTGTTTTCCAATTTGAAATTGGGCTTTGTGTCATGGTCAGACATGGTTATTTGTATACATCATGTATTGCTGTAAAATATGAGGCAAGCAACAATCAAGAATTTGAAATGCTTGTATTTTTCAGTGAATTCACTTTATTTATATAGCACCAATTCACAGCATGTAATCTCAAGGCAATTTCAATTCCACCAGATCATACAAATTGATTAAAAGTTTTCTATCTAAGTAAAACCAGTTCATGGCATCCACTCATTTAGTCAAAGGTAATCCCTCACAACAAGTATGCTTCCCTTTAACAGGAAGAACCTCCAGCAGAACTAGACTTAGTGTGAGCAGCCATCTGTTGAGGCCAACTTTCTAAGACCATATTGAAGGTTTTTAACAATCCATAATTAAACAAGTAAATATAACCACAGAAGATCAAAGGGTTACCTGTTTGGTTTTAAAGAATGAGTCATGACAGTTTTTCTGAAATTCTTGATTTGTATGTGGACTTCTACTGTAACCATTGCACATGCAGTATTTATTTTTAGTTTTGCATTCCCATGCATAAAGATAATCGAACTTTAAAATGGACCAATCTAATGGTTTGTCATTTTATGAAATCTCCATACTACAAACTTTGTTTTTGGTTTTTTTGCTTGTAAACTGAATTGATGCCTGCAGCTATCATCTATAGTTAATTTCAAAGGTCTCAGGTTATGACCTGTAATCAAAGCAAAATAACTGTCATGTCAGTTTCAAACTTAACCTTGGAAGGTACAAACTGAAGTGATGACTACTTTAATTCATACCTAAGCTCTTTTTCATACCAACAGAAAAGAAAAAGGTGCAAAATTGTAAAAGAGTTAATTTTTCAGCAGCTATTAACATCAGACACTAGCTAAGTTTTATTTTAATAATCATCACTTTAAGTTTGATATTAGTGTGGATTTTAAATGATTGTCTGTTTGTTTATTTGCAGAGAATATGTAACATACAGCAGCCAACATGACATCCAGATTTGGTAAAACCTACAACCGCAAGGGAGGGGAGGCTAATTCCAAATTTGAAGAAGTTTTCTCCAACAAAAAGCCCACCCTGACCACCAAATGGGGGGAGACCACCTACAAGGCTCATCTGGGTGGCAAAAACACTTTGCTAAACCAGGGCGCACCTGAAGTCTCCAAAAGGCCAAGGCTTGAGGACAGCGACAGTGAAGATCCATTTGGGTTTGACAGCGATGAAGAAACCAAGGCTGTAGCTTCTGGTAATGCTCCTGACCTGAAAGTACCACAACAGAATGTACCAAAAACAGTTCCAGCACAGAACAGAGTGACTGCTGCTGTTGTGACATCTGCACAGAGCTCTGCAAGTATAACAGCAACATTTGCAAGTGAGTTGCCCCTTTATATAAACTGCCTGTTTTGGAATAGATATCAATGATTGATGCTGTATGTTTAATTCTGTCTTCTTTTCTAAAATCGGCTTTTAAAGTTTCTTTTTTGTGCATTTTTTATTATCATCCATTGATTTCCTTTCTCTGTCTACAGGTAAGCAAACGTCAGAGAAGGATGTTAAAAACAACCAGCCATGGTACAAGAGTGCACTGGCTGGCAACCAAAAACCTGTATATGTGACCTACGTCTCAGAGACTGTCCTCATTGATAATGAAAACGTGTCATTATGCCAGATGCCCGTTTCTTCTTTTACTAATGTAGATGCCACCATTTCGGCAAACATACCAGGAGGAATACAAAACATCCAGCCTGCATGCTCTTATGATGGGTCCCTGTCAGAGGAAATGAAAACTGAGGACCAGGAGCTTTCCACAGAGCCCCCCCCACAACCGGTGGACAACATTCCCCCTTCCCCGTTCACCTTAAGAGCCTCAAACTGCAAGAAATACCAACGGCCCCACCGGTCTAATAAAACGCTAACTGAATCTGGCGAGAGCTACAATGAAACACCAGCCGACCCTGTGAATGCCCAAGATAAATCCAACAGTGTCCTTTCTGCTAGTGCTAGCAGCAGTGCTAACACAGCAACCAAGCCTCCAGGCAGAGGGGGTGGAAGGGTGCGGGACTACACGGTTCTGCACCCATCCTGCTTGTCCGTGTGCAATGTCACTATCCAAGACTCAATAGAGCGCAGCATCGACGAATTCGTGGCACAACCTACCCCCGCTGACCTTGGGGAAGCAGGTCAGATGAAGAAGAAGTCGGACACACAGCCACCTAAACCTACTCGGTACGGTTGGTTTGAAAATTGTTATCCAAAGTATGTAAAAGTGTCATTTAAAAAAAAGGATTGTACAAGATTTGAATCTTAAGTTATACCAAATATTTATTGCTTTATAGGAAGCTTAAAATATTATTTTGAAATATTTCCATATTTGTATTGGTTTTTGATGCAGTCTGTTTACAAACACCCTTGGCTATTTTGAAATCTAGCCAAGTTGGAACTGAAATTTAAATGTAATGTCACACACAGTCATTTTGTATTTGTGATATTTATGCTTTAGTGTATCAGGAAGGAAAATGATCAGCTCATATTTAGATGATATCCTGATCTCTCAAGATATCCTTTCTGACATTCTGTCTATTGTCACTTTTTATAGGAGTTTGAAAGATAGGTTCATATTTTAAAAGTATGTTGGATGGCCATATTTTTCTACTTAAGCTTTATATTTAATTAGATACACTACAAATTGAGCTATGCAATGTTCAAACTGTTAAAACTAAAAGTAAAGCAAAGTCCCTGTCCCAGAATTGGTAATAAAAAAAAAATCCAGAGCCCGGTTGGTAAGCAGCTGCCATCTGTAACCCTAAGCAAATTCTCTGCTCTGAGTAAGATTACAATTTCTATCTAAATTTCTTCTCATGCCTCGGGTTATTTGATACATGTACATTATAAAGTGTTATTTAAAGAATTGGTCCCGAGGTATCTCTTTTCAGGAAAAGGAACAGGAGAGAAAAAGCTTCAAGGTTTTAACACAGAGCTTTCCTTAATACTTTGAACATCAGAAATCTGTTTTTTGTAGAGTATTTAATTGTAAATAGGTTGAACTGCATTTCGAAAATCATCATACTTTATGTTTTACACAACATCCAAACTTTATTAAAAGTGGTTCTGCAGTTTGTGCATGGGTCAATATGGCAAAAATAAAACCCACATTTGTATTGCATAGTGTTATTAAGTAAATTCTGATACAAAAAGAAACATTTTAATCGTGCATATCTGATTTTTGTTTTGTTTTGTAGGTTCAGGCCTGCTCAGACAAAGACAAAGAAAACTAAAGCAGAGACAAAGCTGGAATTCTTTGGGTTTGAGGACAAAGATGCTGAAGGAGATGATGCAAGCTCAGAGGGGCCTATGGCAGGCAAAAGTAGCTACAAGATCAAGTATTTTGGCTTTGATGATCTTAGTGAGAGTGACAGTGATGAGGAGACCTCTCAGGCCAAAGAGAAAAAGGCCAAGAGGGCAGCCGCAGCCTTGGCTGCTCTGAGCTCCAGCGTTGACAGTCCCCATACCAGTGACTCTCAGGACAGTCAAGCCAGCAGCAATACAGGTGAGAACAGGTGAAGTTTTCAAAAGATGAAGTTATAAGGGAGTAACTTTATATTTGCCTGTGTTAGAGTTGTCTGCTTCATGCTTATCAGTGATAGAATGCATAGAAAAGGTATCCTTATAGAATAAAACGATATATTGGTCACTTGTATTGTCTGTTATCATACACCTGTTTAAATAGCTTAATAGAAATGCCTATTTATGAAAGCATAATTGGGGTCATGAGGGTCTTTAGGAGTAAAATTAAAGTTTATCACCGTAGAAATTGTGTGTGTATATATATATATATAGTTGTAACATAATTTCTGCCAAAACTGTTGTATAGTTTAAAGGCCTGTTTACTTCTCTTCAAGTAAAGCGGCTTTTGTGATGAAAAGATGTTTGAGGGTTGCACTCAAGAAAAACTTTCCAAATCTGCTCAGCTAGTGCCAAATGGTTATTTGAGGAGGCAGTTTGATGCCACGCTGTACTGAGGTCCCTGCTGGGGAAATGAACAAATTGTTGCATTGCCAGTATGTTTTGTTTCTGTAAATCTCGACCATCCAATCCAATAAATAGCAGAATAAGCTGTTATTGTCAAAGAGGATTTGTTATATTTATATTATTTATTTTTTCTGTTGGTTGCTTTCCTGCAAACACTGCCCATCCTGCAAGTCCATCTTCATGGCAATGTAGAAATATTGGAGGGGAATGCTCTCAAATTGTGTTAGATTCCTTTCAAGAAGCAATGTTGCCCAATTGAAATAATTAGTCATTTACGAGGAGAACTCACTTTGTGTGCTCAGCATATTTTAAAACCATTCTTAACTTCTCCAACAGATGCTTTTGAGTTCTCTGATGATTCCAGTCCTGGTGTCGCTGAGGGACAGAAAGGGCGACCGGGGAAGCAAGGTGACAGATCCAAGGATTCAGCCACTGGTCTTAAAAAGATTTTCAGTGGACCCAAAAAGGTAACTTTCTTTATTCATAGGTTTTCAGCCTGTTTTCATTTAGAAGTGTTTTTGTGAAGCTGAATTGATTTTTCTAAGAATTCCAGTAAGTAATCAAACTACCTGCCCCCCTTTTTTAAATTTAAAATATTCAGCACACTCTGTTTTTAGCAGAGGTTTTATACGTGCAAGTCGTATCAAACTTTTTCACAGCCGTCTGAATGACAAGATATTTTTATCATGAAAAGAAAAAAGGAGATTTGACCTACTTCCATATGTGCTACCAAATCTTAGAAGTATCAGAGAGTTTTCACTGTCTACAGTCTGAGCGGTTATGCCACATTTTATCCAGTTTTTACATCATTCTGCTGTGTGAACGTAGCTTTAGTTGTGCATTTATTTTTTAACTCCTGCTTTGAAAGCACACCAGAAACGAGCATTAAGTGGAAGCTGGTTTCCCAGGTTTGCTCCTATCCCTGCTTAGATATAACAGTTCTCAGCTTCAGCTCCTCTAACTGCGGGACTTTTTGCCATGTGTCTAACTAAATTTAAGGATAATGCATTATACCATGATTTTAGAACCAAAAAAGAAAGCACCATTCCTAGTGAGACAGCGGTGAAGGGTGTGTAGGAGTGCATTGGCTTGCCTGCACTGCAAAATGAAAATAGCTTTGAGAGCAGGTTGCACCACAAACCTGCACAGACGTATCAGAACTGTCCATCATGAGATGGACAGTTCTAAAACGTTACGCGGTTACTGAAGAGTTTGGTTTCTTTTCTAAAGATTTGATAGCATGTTTAATTTCTACAGCATACAAAATGAGACAAGTGCTGCAGATGTCAAAGTGTACTCTTTCATAAATAAAAAAAAAACAGAATTGTTTACTTGCATTTCCTATTCTTTGTTTTTTCTATCACTTATAAAATAAGTTTAAGCAGTTGCCTAAAATATCTGCAGGATCATTTTATTTTTTATCTCTTTTAATAGAATAATCAAATATCCGACTACTAAAATAATGAGTTGTAGCCCTGATGTTTCATGCTTAAATTTTACATTTCCATGTTGCTATTATTAACTTGGGCTGTGTTTTTATTAGATTTACAGGTCAGTGTGTTGACCCTGATATATGGACAATATTTCTGTGTTTTCTGTACACCAGGAGGAAAATAGGTGATAGTAGTGATTTGTGGCCTTGTCATCACAATCTTTATTTTTCAAGTCTCCCAGTGATTGTACAAAAAAATTATTCAACATAAGCAGCAGTAAAGGAGAACAGCATGGCAAACCAGTCTCAGCATGGGACAAAATACACACAATGTTTAAAAATGTTACTAACAGTAGTGGTGGTTTAAACAAATGAGGAAACGGCTGTGTTAATTATGATGAGACATTAAATGCAGACATAAATGCACCGAAGCATTGATCTCCATGAGTGTTTAGATAAAGATATTAAATAAAAAGTGCTATAAAATAAATGGGACGAAACATTATTGTAGAAAATGGAAATAAAACTTAATTACACATTCCAACAAGTGTTTTAACATTGATTAATAACTTTATTATACAGAAAGGGTTAAGTAAATAGATTTGAAATAAATGTGAACTAAACATCCACTAAAACTACTGATTTAACTTAAGGTTAGTTTGATCAGGAAGGAATCACAGTGACTAGACAAAAATCTGTGCTTGAAACTTAAAGAAATCTTTAGTTACCTTTTTAAAAACCTCAATACTCTGTAATACTCTTAGATCTTATGAGAAGTAGTTTCACAGCTGAGGGTTGAGAAAAAAAGTTGTGATGTATATTTTTTATCTGTTTTAGATGGGATTAATAAATGCTAAGTAAAACTACTCTAAAATATGAGATACTTTTCTGTTTTTTCTGGTTCCGTAATTCAGATGTAATTTCGGTTTAATCTTGATGACATCATCAGACCATGGTGTTAAGTCATTCTTAGATGAACAGAGGCCTTTTCTCAATATGTGTACCTGTGCATGCTCGTGTTCTTGTGAAACGTGATCAGCCTCAGCCCTGGTACTGGACCAAGAACGGACAAAGTCCCTGTATGTTCTCGCCCCTCTCTATTTACCGATCATGCATCAGAGCAGACTTGTCAGTTCTTGAGATTGACAGCTGTCCCAGCATGCACCGTTGCAGCAGCTTCCGGGTTAGAACTCACAGACCTCAGAGTATTAAATTAAAAGATACATTTTCTGTTGCCGTTCTATAGAATTGCGGTTTAAGATCATTTGAGGTGAGAACATTATAGTTTTAAGCATTACTATTTGGCCCATTTACTGAACCAAGCGGCCCCCTGAGGCTAACTGCACCCAGGGCTAAAAGGCTGGTTATACTCCCACAGCAGTGTGTAGCAGTGAGCTTGTTGCAGGTATGACGCAGATATTTTTGATTTATGCTCCATATTGAAGCGTTGTCTGCGCTGTTTGTTCCACGCCACAACGCCAAAGGGGAAAATCCCGAACTAGCTATGGGTCTAGATACAGCTGAGGCCGTGAGGAAATGGGGCAAATTTGTCCGACAACGGGCGCACACGAGGGCGAAAAAGAGCAGGGATCTAGGTGGAAAAAGGGTCTCAGCGATCTCACGCACCTCGCTCTTCTAGCTGGTCCAAATTCGCCAGTCGTTTTCCACAATGGCGGTCATACAAACAAAACAAGCCTGTAAGGTACCAAACAGGAGATGTAGATTTGACCAATCAGAGGCCTCCTGTCTGCGGCACTGTCACCTACAATTTGGAAGAGGTGCAGCAGAGTGTCTGCAGAGATGTCTCTGCGTTCACTGGGACACCGACGCAGACGACCTAGTTTCTAAGTATAATTTTAGCCCATCTGCAGCAACACTCTCTCAGCATAGCCAGGTGTAAAGTACTGCTGGCTCTGATGGTGGTATTTATAATTGTTTTTGTTTGTTTTATTTGGTAAAATATTAGGTTGATTTGTGTTTATCTGACTGTGTTAATTATTCCCCCACTGAATGAGAAAAGTAATATTTTATTATTATCTATAGACTATTAATAACAGGAGGTGAAATGCAGCTCCAGACAAGCTGAGCGTGTGGTGACGTCATGAGTACGTTTCTGTTCCAATTGATTTATGCTGTGTGCTCCCGTTCTCCCCAAGTCCACACTTACCTTTGTTCTTCTCAAGAACATACTTGGCTAGGACACAAGTCCGTACTCACGTTCTTGTGAATTGAGAAATGGCCAGAGTAAATGTAGGGTTATGTAGAGTGACTGGAGTATTGCCTCATATTTCTTTTTTTACTTAATAATTCGTCTCTGATTAGTAGTGTTTACGGAGCACATTCTCTTCTTTTATTTAAATCACATTTTGTAATGGCTTTGGGTTATTTGTGTACAGTCCCTCCATATTTGTGAGTGTACCATTGACATTATTATCAGCATAACTTGGTACATTGCCTGCGTAATATGTACTTGAGTCACAGAATGTGTCGTTTACAGGAAATGTTCTGTTCTGTATGGAGATTCTTGAGCCCCCACACTGACCCTGCAGTGCCCCGTTCCATTAACTGAAATTTTACTAAAATATACACAATAAGCTGAATGCTATGGTTGGAAATTTCATTTGTGACTCAGTCTATTTACAGGCCAGTGACTAATAAAACTGACCGACTGGGCAGCAAAACAGCGCTTTCCTCAAATCCAAACCTTTTTTTTTAATTAAAAAAGTAAATGAGGAAAATAACCTTTATTGGTTTGTTCGTATTACTCTGATAATACCAACTATATTTCATGGTTCCTGCTTTAAAAAAAGGGGGTTATGCTGTTTTAATTTCACAGCCTGTCTCATCGTACTGAATGTATGATTATCTTGAGCTTTGTGCTAAACAAAACTTTAATTTCTGTGGTTTTAGTCTCCTTCTAAAGCTGTGTACAATGCTCGACACTGGAACCAGCCTGAACCTGAGGAGGTACCTGTGCCTCCACTATCTAGAGCTCAGACCTCTCCGGTAAGATTACTCTGGGCTTAAATCTTTTATTTATGTGTAATTTTTAAGTGTGAGGTGTGTTTAACAATAATTTTTAATATTTTTTTTATAACTACTGTAGAGTTAATATGTTCTATAAGGAGTATTTTGTAAAGCAAGGCCAAAAGAAGGTCTTTTAGATAAAGATGTATATGGTAATTTAGTAGTTGGAAGTGCTCCTTATTTTATTTCTCAAGTATATATATATATTTTTTTTAACAGATGAAGTAAAATGAGATGTGAATGAAAAGTGAACTTATCATCTTCCTCTGATCTGAATTTACCCCATGGAAACTGAACTTTTTGTTCCTAGACAAAGAACTCTGTCACATGCTTTTAGGTTTAGTTTTTAACTTTGCCCTATCTCATCTGACATCTGTTAAAAACACTTATTTACACGTGTGTGCATAAACTGTTAAGCAGGGGGAAACCTTGTAGACATGCCATTATTCAGATTTTGTTACTTTGGTCAGGATTTCTTTTCTTTGCTTATTTTCCTCTTAAGGCCATTTTATCGAGCAGCACCAAGGACAGCAACTCTCATAAAGACGATGGCTTGTTCAAAGCCCCGCCACCCCCACCAAAAGTCATCAAAATGGAGACCCTCCCTACACGACCCAACCAGGAGATAGTCACAGCACTCAAATGCAGGAAAGAAGACAAAGAGGTAGGTTGAAGGCATGAGGAGATGGATTCTCTGCACTTTACATTCTGGATATTATGGATCAGTTGTTTGAAAAGATGCAATGATAAATTATTTATTAAGATTCTGATTTTATACATATTTTTTCCCTAGGAACGGGAATAAGAGAAACAAAAGTTGTGTGTTTCTTAATAAAGTTAGTGTTATTGAATTAATGAGAAATAAAAGAAGACCTTTAGAGTAGAATATTTAGTCCGATCTATATCAGATTTTTTCTTACATTTATTGTATTATCTTTTGCCTTTGAACTCAATAGTGCATCAATAGCACATATTATTACTGGTTGTTGTGTGAATGGATAGAGAATAATTACTGTATTTAATTTGGATGCATAGAATTATTTTGGCTCCTGACTTCTCTTTGGAACTAATCAGGACAAAAAAAAGCCAATTCTGATCTGTGGCTGACTGACTGGTGCTTCTCTAATTGTTTTGTTTTTTGCTTTCACATCTAATCTGTCTTTTTTGGTACAGATTGTAGGATAATGGGATGGCGTTTATTTGATGAATATCTAGCTCATTATTGTTTGTTCAATGCCCACTGTGAGTAAAGAAAACAAGGATGGCTGCTAATGATTTAAACTCCCTCATGTTTTCAGTTATAGATGGGCCTTTCTAGGCTCCGATCACGCTGTTGGCCACAGATCCCCTTAAGTGCAGAGGTGTTGCCGCACACTAATGCTATAGCTATTCCTTCCCATGTCACATGGAGTCCACTCAACACTCTAGTTGCAGCTGGTAAACGTACAGAAGGAACTGCTGATCAGGCCTCAAGGTTACATGCTGAGCCGTTATTGATGAGGCAAATTAGCACAGTCAGCGATTGCCGGTAATGGAACCATCTGAGGGAAATAACAGCGAGAGCTGTTCCATCGATATCCGTGCAAATGTGTTTGCCTGAGCTGATTGTGTCTCTGGACAGATGCGCTGCCTTCCAATTAGCTGTAATTAACCCCATTCCTCTTGCAACAGCTGTACACAGTGGTGCAGCATGTGAAGCACTTCAATGACGTGGTGGAGTTCGGGGAGAATCAAGAGTTTACTGACGACTTTGAGTACCTGGAGACGGGACTGAAGAGCAGTCAGCCACTTAACACAAGATGCCTTAGGTGAGTGGAGGGAAACGCTTGCTGCTTGTTTCTTGACTGCTGCAGAGAAGCTCTTCAAAGATGCTTTAATAAAGATAGTTTGGAAGTCCTACTTTCATATTGGTACATTTTAGTCACAACAGTCTTGATGAACTTGGGATAGCTCATGTAGCTCTTAGGTTATTCACCAACAGCTCATGAATTTTCAGGTCTGGTTTGTCAGAGAAGAAAGATGATCTGTGAACATCTTTATTTCTGTGTAGCCATGGGACACGAAATGGAACAATTCTACCATCATAGCATTTGCCCATAAATTATACCATTAACTGTACAATATAAAACAAATGCTTTCAATTACAATATAAGTAAATGGTTGAAGCCAGGACTGTTCCTTTGCAAATATATTTTCTTTTCATTAGTTTTAACACAAGTATAACAAGCTGATGTTTTCTGGTTCATCACTTAGGCTATGTGCTTTGTTACACAGAAATGCAGGTCGTGGCGTTATTGCTACACTTTGAACGGCATAATGTAAGGGGTTTGCACTCCGCATAATTTATGCTTTCATGTGACCTTAGAAATGATACAACAGCCAATATTCTTCTTTTAGTTGAGAGAGAAAAGAGCGTAGCTTTATTTTAGCAAGCTAAATGACCTATCAACAGCAGATGGGGGAGGGACAGTGCTGTAATACTCTATGCTTCATAGATCTGGATAAATCTAGGGTCGCAGCATTTTAAAGTGACTTCTGAGATTTTTCATAGCTGGTACCCAAATCATTCCTATTCCCATCATTTGTTGGTCGTATGTTTAAATAAAGTCGCAGGTGTTCTGCTTAAAAGTTGGAATGTACTCCGTAGAAACAATAGAAATCCACAGCTAAACAGATGGAAAATTACAGTAAATTGCCTGTCTCACATTCTGGCTTATTATATTGAACAAAGAATCCTAAATAGTGCTGTTGTGTTCTTCTTTTTTATTTTTTCCCACCCTCTTATTCACTTTGTCTTTCAGTATAATAAGCCTGGCCACACGATGTGCCATGCCGAGTTTCAGGATGCACCTGCGGGCCAGAGGAAAAGTGGCTCAGGTCTTCAAAATCCTCAGTGATGCTCCACAGCATCCGGTCAGTCAACGTATTTTCTCTCTGTCTACTGTTTGCTTTATGCGAATATGTTGCATCTGTGTAACATGTAGACTGGCAGCATAAACACAACCTTCAGGGTCATACTAAACCATGTCTAAATTTGGTTCTGGAAAGCTTGTAATTATGAAGGACATACGGATTTATTGTGCCTTGGTGATCTGTGTTGATGGTCTATATACAATAAACGTGATCAATGCCTTCTTTTTTTTGTATATTTAAAAGTCTTATGATTTCCCTTATGTGTTGTCAATAAATAATCATAAATAAGGAATTTTCTTTTACTTGTATTGCTTGTTTTGTAGTTTTAAATTCAATCTAATTTAATGTAGGACTTTGAAATTATTCTTTATAATTTTTCTTTTAAATTACTAAAGCTGAGCTTATGTTTTTCCTTTTTATATAAATTAGAACCTTGCTCTGTGCACTGCTGCCCTGATGTACATCCTGAGTAGAGATCGCCTGAACATGGATCTGGACCGAGCATGTCTGGAGCTAATGATCAAGCTGCTGGAGTTAGACCAGGACTACTCAGGCCATGAGGATCAGCTAACTGCAAAGGAAGTGGCAAAAGTCAAGGAGAAGATCCGAAAGCTGTGTGAGACCGTGCACAACAAGCATCTCGACTTGGAAAACATCACGGTAAGTTGTCCTTTAAAACTTCTAGACTTGGTGAAACTTCCAGATGGGTGGTTTCTGACGAGGCTTAAGATTCCTTTTTTGAGGACCATCTGTATCTGGCTTTTATTTATTTTGTATAATTGCAGTTTCATTTCCAAGAGCTTTTTGTTATAGAGCAGCAGGTTAGGAGCTGTTGAACCAGCTCCATCTGCCTCTTGGTGATCAGTTTATTGAGGAATAAGACGGATCAACTCTATGGACCTGTCAAATATAACATATTTCTGAGAGTCAACCTCAATATGTTTCGCAAGATCTTGTCTAACAAAAAATTATAACATTGCTGATTTGAAGGGGTTCATTGTTGTGCACCCTGATGGAGTGACGATCTGAATGTAGGTGGATTATATATACCGTATTTTCACGACCATAAGGCGCACCATACTAAAAGGCGCAGTCTCAGTTATGTGTGCCATTACTGTATTTAACACACACATAAGGCGCACCGGACTATAGGGCGCAGGTTTTATATACAGGTACATGTCCTTTGCTACGTTTAAATACCTCTACTGCGTATTTAAAAATAAGAGTGGGAGCAAAACTGAGTATGATTGTGCTTTATTCATGTATTTATTACAAAGTATTAATCAAACCTGGGAGCTCGCTGTGAGACAGACACATCGCTAATGACACAGAGCGCTGTGATCACTCGTCAACTGTTTATTGACGCATAAATTAACTTAAAATGCAGAAATCTGCCGGCAGAATATGTTCGCTTTTATTATCCTGGTGCCTGCAGTTTAGATTATTTAGATGAAAAACACCTACCAGCTGCCGCAGTGAACCACGAGGAGGCGACCCGGCCAGAGGCTGCTGTTGAATGGGATTCCTACTGACAGTGCACCGCCGGTATGTGGGGGTCTGAGCGGCTCCAACAGAAATAATATTGAAAGGTGGGATGGTAATCTGGATGAAATGACTGCAATGAATACGTTTTCAGGTGGACTTTCTCACTTAAAAACATATTAAAACTACTTTATTCCCACTGATCACATCAAATATAGCTGCAAGGCAGAGAAAGGATAGAGTAGCTCCGCTAAACACGCGTCAGACACACTTTTGCACCGCGGCAGCCAGAGCAGCAAAGCTGCTTCAGCCGCGCGTCAGAACTAACTGGTACAAGCAGCAAAAATGAAGCAGCAGACGCATGAACGTAGCATTACTTTGAACGGTCGTTCACACCGATGTCGAGCGGTTGAAGTTCCTTTGTCAGACCTCCCGGAATAACAGCAAGCACAGCGTTCATTTGTTTCACCATGTTTTTTACATCGGCTGTGAGATGGGCACGCATGGAGTCACAGATTAACAGCGATGGTGATGCGTGGAAAAAAACCACCTGGTTCTCCTTACATACACCTCCCTCAGCCACACTTTCATCATCTCCTCAATGAGGAGATGATGAAAGTTCTTTTATACACAATCCGCACACACACTTCCCCTTTAAGGTTCTCATGGTGGTCTCAAAAGTCCACAGTAACAACACACATAGGGCGCACCGCACTATAGGGCACGCTGCACATTTTCAATGAAAAAAAGACGTTTACATGCGCCTTATAGTCACGTAAATACGGTATGTTTGTTTAGAACAGCCAGGCATCCAGTGTCTGGGTACATGAAACTGACCACTCAAAATATTATGAGAGCTTAACCTTTCATCCTCATAACATTCTTCCATACTTAACCGACATCTTGACTGCCGCACCATCTCCTCTTCAAACGTTTCATTGCTTAATTAAACGGAAAGACTCGCATGCTTTATTTTGCAGCACACATACAAAAGAGCAGCACATTCTGTATGTTTCTCCAGGCAGCAGCCTAATCAACAACGGTCAGAGAATCTCAAACCATGGGGCAAACGCTCCTTTGGTGTGACAGCAGCTAAAAGCCACACAACCTAACCTAACCCCCCTTCATGTTAAGTTTGCTCCTGGGTTTTCCTAGGTCTGTCTGTGCCCTAACCCGGGGTTCTTGCCAGAAGTGTTGGATTCTGCTTTGTAAATTTCTCCACTGTCAATAAAGTAAATAAATTATAGCTTCCCTACAGTTGAGCTTATGGCGTTCCATCCTCCACTTTAAGCATCTTAATGAACTATGACCTGTTCGAGCTCTGCACATGTATTTTGCTTGGTAGGCAACAATTGTGTTGTGGGCTACCCCACACGAGAGGAAGCCAGTGTTTTGTCAGATGCTGTTTCACTGGATTGTGAAAGCCATCTCTTTTGCCTACAGCTGCAGAGATTTGTAACCTCATCAAGGGTTGAGGGCACATTTTGCTAGAGGTGTGTCTACCTCTCGGGCCCTCTTCTATGCAGTGGAGTCGCTCTCCTCCTCTGAGCAAGCAAGCTGCAGACAGCCAGGACATTGACTGCTTGCTAAAACAGAAAACTGACTGATGCTTTACATGTTTTCACCGAAGTCTCCAACAACACAGAAAAGTTATGTTTTTTTTTTTAAGAGTCACTACAGTGGTCTGAAAACTCAATCTAGTGATAATCTTTGGCAGCAGTGTCTCTTTGGCTCTCTCTCCCTCCCTCTCTCCCCAACGTTCTCCTCAACTATGGTGTAATTTTTGTGCCACCAACCTGCGAGCACATGTACCAGTCTGAGTATAAAGAACTGAAATATCCAGAAGGTGAAGGAATTATAAAAGCAAATGGGATGCAAGATTTTAAAAAGCAAAAATAAATTACAAAGACAAGGTTGAGTGTGAACTGAGTCAGAAATATTGGAAAAAAAAAGAAGAATGCCTGTAGGGGTCTGAACACAAAAGGAAGAAAGCAAAAAGCTTTTCCTCAGTATACAGACCCTGCTGGCCTTGTAAATGATTTGAATTCCCATTACTCTTGGTTTGACAAAAAATGACTTGAGAGATAAAATTCATTCCATTTGTACTTAGAATGCACCGTTCCATATAAAACCCTGATCTCTGAATTTCAGTATCCGTCTTTCTTTTTACAGGTCTGATGAATACGACATGTAAAAAAAAGACTAAACATATCGTTTTTTTATGGCCACACAGACAAGTGCCCTAGGTGTCATTGAAAAAATAGTCTATGTATTTTTCAGACTTTCATGAAAAGATCAGATACAGGTTGCATATTGGAACAAACTTTGGATTTGGGTCACTTCAGGTTGCAGTGTAAACGTAGCTAAAAACTCCTGGGTAGAGATCAAAACATTTCTGAAAATCTGAGAGATGTATCCTCTAATTTCTGTTTTGTAAATACCAGTGGTGGTAATAATGTCTGAACTCTGTCTGCAGGTTGTGTTTCCTCTCCACTTGTTTTCTCTGTTTACTAATGAGTTGTAATTTCCCAGCTAAGCTTTCTATCTGGTCGGGTACGCTGATGGCATGCCCTGCTGGTTCCTGGCCCTAAAGATGTGAATAGATGTTCCTTTTTTGTTTACACCTAGTTCTAGTTCAATGAAAGCTTTCTGGACTGTAATATCAGGAAAAAAACAGGGAGTATTTCCTGAGATGTGACCTACTGTCCCATAAAAGGCAGCCAGTGGAACATTCCACTGTATTCAAACACCTGCCAACAATCATAGCTGACAAGCCAACCTTCCAGCAGCTTAAAAGATGCTAGACTGCCTCTTTTTTCCTAGGGAAACCAAGGGTCTCCAATGACCGTAAACCCACCTTGCAATTGGTACACATGACACCTACTGATGTTGTCTTCTCTTTTATACTGTATACAGTTGTTCTGACACAGACATACATTAAACAGGGTAAAATTTAGGTTTGCAATGACCCAGTAAAAATACTGCAACCTGTATTTAAGCTGCTGCTGCCACCCAGGGGCATGCCAAGGGTCTCATTAACAGCAACAAAAAAATACCTAGTGTTAAGGGCTTTGAGCTTGGAATCCTGAGGTTCTGAGTTCGAGCCACACTCCCACAGAGTGCCACTCTGGGTTTCTGAGCAAAGACCCGTAACCCCACACCTCTCCCCTGGCGCTGCACAATGGCAGTTCCAAAGGGATGGGTTAAATGCAGAGGCACATTTCTCCAATGAATATAGTTATATTCAAACATTTAATAGATCATTGTAATTAATGATACAACAGTTAAAGCTTTCAGTTTATTGAGTTTATGAAGTGTTTGCTTGTGTAAACTGATGTCAAAGTCAAAACGCCCTTAAAAAAACAAAAAAAAAAACAAGTGAACAATAAAGGTATTTTCTTGCACCAAACTTTTACCCACACCTTATTGTTATATTGTTTTTACTTAAAAGCTCCTTATTCAGCAAAATAAAAATTGGTATGTATAGATTTAACTCCAAATAAGTGTACTTCTGTAGAAGTGTGGTGCATAAACGATTATTTCGAAAATCAGGACCATGTTGTATTAACACTTTTTTAATTTAGTTGATTTAATCTTATTTTGTTTGTTCTATTTTTGATTATTCATATCACCAAGCTAGATAATAAAAATAGCTCATTATATAATTAATCTAATCTATACATGTATCTTTTTTTATAGACGGGTCATCTTGCCATGGAGGCGTTATTATCTCTGACATCTAAACGGGCGGGTGATTGGTTCAAAGAAGAACTGCGGCTATTGGGAGGCCTGGACCACATTGTCGATAAAGGTCTGTGTGTGTTGAATGCTGTGTGTGATTGCGGCCTGCTTGATGGCTTAAAAATGTGAAAGGGCAAGTGAAAAGATTTTGTTGTTTTGCCACAGTGAAAGAGTGTGTGGAGAACTTGAGCCAAGAAGATGACAAGGAGAAGCTCGTAGAATCTCTTTGGGGAGCCGAGAGGTGTCTGAGAGTCCTTGAAAGTGTAAGAACAATCTTTTAAAGTTTTTCAAACTTGTTCAAAAGGGAGACAGAGGGGCAAAACAGGTTGATTTCTGTGTTTTTTTTTCTTTCTCTGAGATACAAACTGTTTCGTTGGATAAAAAACTGTTAAACCAATTTTGTGCCTCTTCTGGTTCCATTTTAAATCTTTCCCTATTTGTATCTTAATCTGCTAACAGGTGACTTTGCAGAACGCAGAAAATCAGGGATATCTGATTGCCTACAAAGACTCTCAGCTCATCGTTTCCTCAGCCAGGTGAGCACTGACTGTTGTTTGAGTCACCATATCTACCTTAAATGGGTTTCTCATGAGTATGTGCAACCAAGGAGGTAAACATGTTTGAAAAGATTGATCCGACAATTAAAATTCAACAATCAGAGATTGCATTTTGGCCCAGCCTACTTGTGACGGTCTTCAAAATTTGAGTTTTGTTTGCAACTCAATTGGACGTAGGACACAACCTTGCTCAGTGTATCCATAAAATAAACTCACGAACAAGGACTTAAAGGACCTAACATAGTTTAGTGGCATGCCTTTTTGTGGCATAATGTATTTTTAGTCTTTAAGATTGGGTTATAACTTGAAAAGAGGAAATACAAAAGAAAAGAAAAAGACCGATCATAACTTGAAGTATTGATCTAGACTTGTCTAAAAGGTGGTCCTTTTGCATTCAGAAAACAATCTAAGTTGCCCAATCTTCTTGGCCTTACATCTTTCTGCCTTTTCCCGACATTTTTCATCCATGTTTCTGCCCTATTTCCGCCTTTTCCGCTCTGTATGATTTCTCACAAAAGCCCTTTCTATTTCTGTCAACAGAGCTTTGCGGTACTGCGAAGATATGATCCAGCGGTACAGCAGGGCGCTAAACAACAGCTCTTTGTCATCATCGGGTGCAACCCTGCCACACTGTAGCTTCAGCAACGTGGGCAAGGCGGTGGAGGACTGCATGAGGGCTGTCATAGGGGTGCTCCTCAACCTCACACATGATAATGGTATTTCAACTTGAAGGTTTTATTTTAGCATCTTTAAGGAGAAAGCATTCACTGGGCGCATACTTAAATTTTATTCCAAGTGGACTTGTTGTTTTCTTTGTTCTTTTACTTGTATAGCTAAGAAAAAAAATGGTATGTTTACTGAAATGAGCTGCTTGGCAGGGTATAGTTCAGTGGTGTAGGCCGAGGTCAGTAATGATCAATATATTTGTTTACAGAATGGGGAAGCACGAAGACCGGGGAGCAGGAGCAGCTAATGATCACCGCTCTAAACTGTGTCCTGCGAGTCCCACGCTACATCCCACAGGAGCAGCGATTTGAAGTGCGAGTTTTGGTAAGTTACACCACATAAGGGAGCCCTGAATTGTTTTTGTTTGAGAGTAAAAAATATTATCCTTCTAACTTTCTTCTCTCTCTCTGGTTTGTATTCATCAGGGTTTGGGGCTTTTAATTAACCTGGTAGAGTACAGCTCCAGAAACCGTCACAGTTTGGTGGACATGGAGTACAGTGTGGATGACGCGGGTCTGGAAGACAGCCTGATGCAGCCTGCTGATCCGACACAATCAGAGACAGCAGCGCAATCGGCTGAGACTGAGGGAGACCAGGCTGACACGCCGAAGCCTGCAGGAGCTTTAGCTGCCCTGGTGAAGGTAGAAACTGACAAATGTGCTCCTCTCATTGTAGATCCTTTATTTAGAGTCAAATTATTGGACTTATTACTTAGAATAATTGTGCAGAATTTAATTTTCACAACTCTATCAACTTTTATCCAAATCTCCTTTCCTAGAAATCTAGGTCTATGCTTCTGTTTGTTCTTTCCATTGCCGTAGAGAATGGTTTTGTTCAACACTTTCCCTCTAAAAGGCTGGTTTATTCCCTGCAGGTATCTGCAGATTAAATTTGAAGAAAATGTAAAAATCAGTGTTACTTCACGCCAACTATAATCCCCCAGCCATTTATGCTAGATATTTATTTAAAGGAATTTTTTTTTCTGAAAAGAGATTTATATGGTTAGTTGATAGGTTATTTCAGCTGACCCTTAACCCAGAAAGTCAGCACATCATGCACACAACCTTTTCAAGTTTTTACACTGGATGCCCTTTCTGACACCAGGAATGAAGTGTAGGAGGAAGAAAATCTTTGTTTTTATAATTGCAACGTTTGGTTTTTAAAGGGTTAAATGTCACTGAATCTTTTGGTCTTTTTATTTCCCTTTTAGAAACTGTTTATGGAAAGCAAAAGAGCAAGTGGTTATTTGACTTTTGTTTTAAAGTTTAACGGTTTCTCTTCAAAAAGGGACAGTTGGAAATGTAATTTTCTATTTCATATAACAAAATGAGTTTTAATATCTGTTCTCACTTTTCCTCTCCCAGACACGCTCTCTATCATAAGGGAAATAATGCAGGTCCATGTCTTTGTTAAAGCTCCAAATGTATCTCAGGGGTTCCCATCAAATTTACTCAATTTTAGAATCTCATGTTTCTTGCAGAACTTTTTTTTTGCTCCCCTACATGTGACATCTACACTAAGATTTCTGTGGATGACAGGCCTTGTTTAGCCTTGCCAAAAATCATGCCGAGTACGGTTCTAAAAATATTTTATATCTGTGGTAAAATGGCGCAGGCATCCTGTCAAATTTGGCACACGTCTCCAATAAGTGACCACATTTAGAAAGAAGTTTTTGTTTTTACCCCTTCCTAAAAGGAAAATGAAGACCAAAGATTATAATCACCAATAAAACACATGCACAGGATTCTTTAGAAGCATATTGGGTATACAGCTAATGTGAATTCTTTCCAACTTATGTGCAAATGAGCTCCATTTATAACTGATTTAGTTATTGAAGCAGAAACCTATAATCTAGAAAAGAACAGATGATATGGACTGTAGAGGACCTTAAATGCATTTGCTGAAAAATTACATTGGGCAATTATTACTAACTAGAAAAGCGCTAGGAGGCTCAGACCTCCGTCAAGCAGCACATTTTGTTCCATATCATGCATTCTACCGATAGCTAAAAGTCACACATGATCTGGATCATTACCAAATTTTAATAAATTGTTCCTTGGCATGAGGTGCACCTTTGTAAGCCATTTCCTTAAAAATATTTCCTAAGTTTCTAAATGAGGTACAGAGTGTGTCTGCAGCCTTTGGTGTTTGTTCTGCTCTCACCTCCTTCATTCACTTTGAATGAATTGAAGCGAGGCATGGTTCATTTGTTCTGTGTTTTTATCTTCAGTATAATACTTCTGGACCTTTGAGTCTGATGCTTAAACGATGCATACTTAGTGCTGCCACCCTCTGGTTTAGGGGGGAACTGCTTGTTGTGCCAATTAATGTTGAAAAATACTTTAAAATGTTCCTGCATCTGGATTATTATCTAGATCATCACCAGAACTTAATGGGTTGTTTCTTGGACTGAGATGAACTTTTGGTACAAATTTAATCAAAATCCAGTTTTAATTTAAACAGACAGACAAACATGCACACAAACTCTACCACAACCAACCTCCTTGGCGGAGCAAATAAGAAACCCTCAAACTGATTGTTATAGGACTGTATAAACTCTAGTCATAACAGGGTTGTTATCTGTTGTAAATAGTTTTTAAAGCATGTAGATGCAGTAGAATGGTTAGAGGTAAAGCATTGTTTAGAAAAAGATTCCTGTCCAAAAGTTGAAATGTGGATTCATATCAAGATTCTGTTTTTTATGCTGGAAAGGATTTATGGGTTGGTTACTGGATGTTTTGTTTTTGTCTGCATATTTAAAATAAGTTGGAAAGAACAATATTTTAAATTCCATGTTTTTACATTTTTTTAAATCTAAAACCATTTTGTTTGGTTTCACTACTTAGAAGAAAAGCCCTGTTACTGATAGCTTGGTGCTGAGTTAACTGCTCTTATTTTTCCACCAGCTCTTCCTTGAGAGAGAGCGTGCTGCCATCCTGGCTGAGGCAAAGACAGACGACCTCATCAGCGAGGCTCCTAAGCCGGCCCTGGACAAAAGCGGAGAGTGGCAGGAAACGTCGGGTGAAATCCAGTGGGTTGCATCTGAAACAAACGACAGCCAAACTGAAAAGAAAGAGGAAGAGGATGAAGAATTGGACCTAAATAAAGGTAGATTTAGCAGGGATTATTGTGTAGCTTTAGTCTAATTACATTCTATGACTTCCAAAAATTATTAAGAATAAATCCCAGAATTAAAATGGATTAATGCTTAAAGAGTAGTAAAAGTTACTTTTATAATTTTATTTTTATGCCTACATGATTGAATACATCTTCCATTAGATATTTAAACCAGTGAGAATAACTTTGTTTTCCTGTTTTGTTACAGCTCTGCAGCATGCAGGCAAACATATGGAGGACAGCATCGTTGCCTCCTACACAGCTCTGTTACTAGGCTGCCTCTGTCAGGGTAGCCAGGTGAGGATAAGACTAACACACATTTACACAATCTATATGCTGAGGATCTACTCTCACTCTAAGTTCACTGCTCTCCCTGTCGCCCTCAGATAAATGTGACTACAGTGAGACAGAACCTTCCTAAAGGGGATTTTTCTATAATGACAGAAATGCTGAAGAAGTTCTTGAGTTTCATGAACCTCACTGTAAGTATGACCGACAGGGTAAACTCTGTTATCTGGGTTGTATAGTAGGTCTAACATGGCTAAGAGGAATAATAGAGGCATTCCAGAACCTTCCGTGTTACAATGATGTGATACTAAAATATCAAATAAGGCATCAGATGCTGTCCAATTCTAACATGATCATAAAATTAAGAAAAAAAAATGGCTTTAAAAAGTATTTGCATCTTTTTTGCTCTTTAAATTCCAAATGCATTTTCTTACGTTTAATGGATTTGGAAACTTAGGATAATTGCACTTTTTTTTTTTTTTTATTTAAGCTGCTAAAGGTCAGTTATTTTATTCTCTAACCTCCACAATGTTATTACAAATACAGGCAGATTTTTAAAATTGGTTTACAGAACTATTGCATCTTGTAACTGAACATGTATAGGAGCCCTATTAAAGGATTTAGATTTCTTTAATTTCACTCTGAATTCACCCGCAGGTTGGAACTTGATGTGTTTATTGTGCAGAATGTGCTCCTTGCTGTTCTGGTTTTGTATAGTATTGCCAACAGCTCATATTAGCTGGGTAATTAGTCAGGCTACATGCACAGGTAGGAAACCTGCTGTCAGGTATTTTACTGACAAGCTTCCCGCTGCCTTCCAAGTTTACTTTCAAAACAGCCTTGGTTTAATAAGAGGGATTTAATTGGTAGACAACATGGCTCGTTTCTTGGAAGCGATCAGCACCATTCTGAAACCGGTTGGGAAGACGGTGCTTCTGTACACTCAGGGGGGAGAAAACCCCCCCAAATATTCAGATTCAGTCTGCATTTTGTCTAACATCTATCTGAATGAAGGAAAATGCATATAAATTGCTAGTGATAACATAGTAAAAATATAATTTTTTAAAAAATCATTATTTAAAGTCCCTTAGCTGTTTCAGTCCTTGGATGTGACTTACCAGTTACAAATAATTTCAGTTTCTCTTATAAAAAAAAGATCTTCATGTTCTGTCAGCTGAGATGAATATAAAAGATTGTTAATTGGGATCATTTATTTTCTACTTGGTAGATTCTAAAGGCTTCTAAACCATTTGCACAGACTTTATTAGCAGTTATGAAAAGCTGCCATTAATATATAAATTGTGATCAATCTCAGAAATGATGCCTGAGCTGCAAGCTCCTAGTAGTAATTAAAAAAAGATGGCTGATTGTTTGAACTGCTCAACAGTATTTATCAGTTGGGATTCATTCTGTCAGAACTGATGACTGAAACAATGTGTTTCATATTTTCTTTTTTTTTATTTGAGCAGAAGCTGAAATTATAAGCTGTAAAAATGTTTCCTCTGCGTGTTTAAGGCTTCAGAACACTTCTAACCCTTTTGTTTTCCTTTCCGTCTCCCCACACAGTGTGCAATGGGCACCACAGGACAGAAGTCTATCTCACGGGTCATCGACTACCTGGAACACTGTTAACACACGTTGAACCACAACAAACTCAGACTCTTCTGCACATTTAAAGGGGTCGAGATATTCCCTGGGTCCATTGATGTCACACTCCCATGACCTCATTTGGCTACCCCTTTGATGCATACATGATGCTTTGTGTGTAAACTCTCTAAATCATCTGTTTCGGTCCCTTTCTGGAGCACAGCCTGAACCAAAGCCCTGTTAGCTGATGGACGTTTAACTTTTTTTTTCCTGTCATGTCATGCCCAGATTCATTCTTATTTCTCCGTTGCACAGATTATTTCCTAAATAATTCTGCAAGATGCTTAATAATAAGTGGACTGACATTTGAAATGGACTCGAAGTGGATCTCCCTATGCATCATCCCAAAAGGTTTGACAACAATAAGCCGCTGAGGAGGAGTCATGTTCGCTGTCAGGTTCTGATTTCTGGCTGCGCAGCTGAAGTGTGAAGCCTTGAATCAGATTTTATGGATCATTACATTTTAATCTCTGCCTATCCACGTCCAAGCCAAGGGTGAAATAATTGATCAGCAGGGAAATCAATCATCTTCATGGACTTCAGAATGATGTCTTTATGAAAACCAGTGTGGAATGATTTTGAATGCAATTTTCATTTTTTCCCATTCATGCTTACAATTAGTGTGAATGTTTAAGGGAGTTTTAAAGCTTGGGTTTTGTTTTTAATCTGTGCTATAAAGCAGTTTTAGCTGTTTAACATGTTTTTAGATTTTTTTTTTTCTCCTGCAGGACATTTTTCCTACCCTTCGATAAAGCGATCATGTCAGGATGTCCTCCGTATGACTGAGACTGGCAGTAGGGAACTACCTGCTGCCATTGGGCTTTTATTTCCTTTCACCCATATTTGTTTATATTTTAGTTAATTTAAATTTTAACTAATTCAACAGTGGTGTTCCTATATCCACATTAACTCAACTAGAGCACATAATTATTTCAATGATGGTTTTCTTTGTTTAAAATGCAATGAAATAATTTTAAGAATTGTATTTAATTTAATGTTTTATCTCCTTGTCTTGAATGGATTTTTTTTTTTAAACCAAGCTGGACTGTTTTATTTTAATATAATCATGTGATTGACTTTGCAGATTTAGTTTGTGGCCCGAGTTTAAACAAAAATATATTTGATTCTGAACCTCTGATTCTTTTTGTGTCTGCTTTAGACACCGCGTCCTAAACTCCAGATTATTTATTCTGCCTTGGTGTCATTCCACCTGTGCTTTACTCACCTTTAACTCTGAAAAGCCTCTTGTCGTGTACTGCTCTCCTGTTCGATTACTGAACCGATTTACAGCCATAATTGTATAAACGTCAGTTTGATCTGGTTTTGTAGGGCTGCGGTGAACATAACTTGCAACTGTGTTTACTGTCAATTACTTTAAAAAAATTTCTTCTGAAGTAAGTTTTAGAATGTAAATACTTGTGTACATATACATAACTGGACATTTAAATTACGTAGACTTCTTTTCCCCCTCCCGCTCCTCTAAGCTGATATCTTATTTTATACTATATTTCTGATTTGTTTGAGGAAAAAAACAAAAATATAAAAAAAAAACAATGGCAAGAGGAAAAAAAAATGTTTGTACCCGTTTTGAGAACGTAGTCTCTGGTTACGTGTAAATAGTTGTATCTGAAAAATGAAAAAAATTGCTACTTTCAGTACAAACGATGTGTGCTGCTTCCTTTATTGCATTGTCTGTTTCTGACATACAGCACCCTTCACACTGGTAAAGACTTTTAAAAGGTCTTAAATTCCTACTTCATTGCTCTTGAATGAGCACACACTGGGGGATAGAGAGGGGGTTTTATGTTTTCTTTTAATACCCGTTTACTATTCTCTACAGAGCCTTGTTTGTCACACTTTTATTTGTGTTAAATGTCCCAAAGGCTAAATTCAGGTGGGAGGCTGTTAACTTGTGCATTTCCTAATTTAAGATCATCTGCTCACATTACCCTACCTCCTGTGCTTCATTATTCCAGAAAAGCACTTCTATGTCCTCTTATTTAGAGCAGCATCTTTAAATCGTCTAAAACTGTACTTTGCTTTTATTGTAAATGTTTTAGTCTGATTCCTTACAGCTCATAAAAATATTCAAGTAGGTTTAAATTATTTTCAGCCAAGCAGAGGTGTGCAAAGTAGCCATAAATAATACAGCAGATAATTATTCCTTTAACATATAAAAGTAGCAGTTCTGGAAGTTACTCAAAAGTAAAATATTTAGGGGTCGTTAACGACTTTCATCATTTTTTATGTTTACAAAACGTCAAGCTAATTAACACTTAAAATGAGCTCTCAGCTCATCTTACAGCACTTTCTTTTCCTGTTCTTTTGCATTGAAGTTCAATTAGTTTTATTGTAAACATTTTAATTCACAAAGTTTGCAAGTGCTCAATAAAAATTTTGCCGCGTAATCTCATATGCACATAATGAGGGGGGAGTGGCTTGGAATCCAGAGGTTTGAGTTTAAGCCCCACTCCCACAGACTGCCACTCTGGGTCTCAGTAAGATCCTTAACTCCCACACTGCTCCCCACGGGGATGGGTTAAATGCTGGGAGTTCATTTCATTACTTTGTACTTGTGACAGTGTATTGACAAAGCTAAAATAAAAAAATCTTAGTCCTTGCTACAATTGAAAATAGTATCTTAGGGGTTAGTTTGTCCAAAGGGTTTATTTTTTTTAATCGCCTGTTAAAAGTTGTCTAAACCAAGCACTCAATAACTCATCACATGTTCTGACTAACGTAATAAGACAGATCAACAAAAGTCATGTGCACATTCTAGTATTTTAGACTTGTACAGTTTAATATAACTGCATAATTAAAGTTCTGCGTAGAAGAAACACTTTTCTAAATCATGTTTTTTAACATAAATCTCTAAAACATTAAAAAATTGTTAATATATGGATATTAGAACTTCCTCCAGTGACAATATTGTTACTGTATTTTAGCTTGACCTGCTTTAAAAGGCTCAGCAGATAAAAAGTAAGCTTGTGTGGTTAAAAAAAAAAAAAAAAAAAAAGAAGAAGAAAGAAGTGTCACCAATT